GAAAAGTACTCTAAACTGTATAAATAATGTAAAATTCAATTGAATTTATTAGCCAATCAGACAAACTTCTGCCTATGAGCTCACAATATATAGTTTTATTCATGTTCATGCACACGCTCGTTGCTCGTGGTTGCTTATGCATATGTGTGTACTGATTATACTTTAGTTGATCGGCTACATGGCACTTTATGAAATTCAATTGACATGCATTAAACCAGATTAAAATGTGTACAATGAATACAGTAATAGTAATTAACATAATAGAATTTTTTTATTTGTATATTTCATATTCTACGTGAGCTTTCGAAATACTATGTACAATACATTTGCTTTTCTTTATCGATTAACGCCCGGAATTAGATCTTATTCAACAATGTTAAAGCAGAATACTAGTATACTAACGGACACACTATATAAATGTAAATGTTACAAAATTTGGCGTTTAGAGTTAAACAAATAGTAATATCAGAGTATCCTTACTTTATTTTCTGTATCAACCATATGATGTAATGCCAAAAGAAAATAGACTTTGGCTTTTTTTAAACTTATGACTTATCAGGCCCGTGTGTTCCACAAATAGAACAACCCTTTTTTTACAAGTATATTAATCCAAAATTTTTTGGTGTGATACGCAACTTTTCCAAGTATTTTCCTACCTCTTTCACTGGTAATTTAAAAGTATGATATTGAACATTTGGACAATTTGGACATTTGGAAAATGATCAATTTGTCCAAATAGTTTAATTGGATATTATGATTTATTGGACACAATATATATATATAATAGTGGGAAAAAATTGCCAAATAATGATAATTCGGTTCAACCAGCAAATAAATAAATGTTGTGAAGTAATATATAAACATAAATTAAAAACCCTTAGATAGCAAACTACGATTGAATGTCTTATAATTTTAATGTCACTATTAGAGTTATCTTCGTAATGCATAATAGGAATCATAATCAGAGTTGCGATCCAAATTTAAATTAAAAACTCTAATTAAAATCTAGCTTTTAGATCGTAAAGACATTAGAAAAAGCAAAATTTAAGGCATAATAAAATATTTGCTTGGCAATATATAATGAATACCGTATTCAATTCTCAAACGAAATTTTGGTTGTTTTTAAAATATAACTTAAAATTTTTTAGTTTTTATTATACTTTAATTTTGACATATTATCTCGACTTCTTTAAATAGAATTTATTTAATTATATGGGCTACCATCAAGCAGATCTACATTTGAAAAAAAATCAATGCCTAACTTTCACAGCTCATACCTCGATGAATTTTAAAGCTATCTTGATTATTTAATATTCAAAAGAAAGCTTACGATCTAAGCTTTCTTTTGAATATTAAACAATCAAGATAGCTTTAAAATTCATCGAGGTATGAGCTGTGAAAGTTAGGCATTGATTTTTTTTCAAATGACGGCAGATCATTATACAATTATAATAAAGTTATTGGACAATTGGACATATGTCCAACTTATATTTTTTGATCATTTATTGGACATCGTCCAATGTCTAATGGTCCAAAAAAATTATTAGAATTAATTGACATTGTCCAATTCCAAATGTCCAAAAGTCTAATTGAATTTATTTGGACATTGTCCAATACCGACTCTTTTTAGAAAGATGCATACACACTGAAAATTTTTGAAAGAATACTTGTCGAAAAGGTTTATTGTTCAATGTTTGGTTTTCTCTTTGGTATTGTTTAATTATCAATTTTAATTCGCATCTCGAACTCAAATCTCAATCTGACGCAACTCAGTTTTAAATTCATGCTTCTAATTTCACGCATAACATATATGAGTAGAAATTTCGTTTCCAATACCCCAATGATCCAAGACATTATTATTACGTATACCTTTACTACATCTTTACTCCTTCATTCAGCACTTTACTTTTGCAAAAAGCCCGCAGTTGATGTACGGATTCCTGTTTAAACTAAGGGGCATGTATACAATCTTTAACAACGAATGGCTTTATACATTTTAGTTGATCTTGTTACTAACCCCAAAAGTGAGTTGTATAATTAATGATGTAATTTATGAAAGATCGGCATGTCAAAAGCCTTTGTCCTAAAACCTATAAAAGGCCGTCAAATAAATCTAAGCACCTTTATTACTACAAACTTGTTACCACAATTAAAAATGTTCCTCAGCCCTAATATTCATAACGTTTTTTTGTTCGTGATATTCATAATTTCAGGACCAATCTACAACAATCTCCATTTAAGTGCGGAAACAACCAAAAACTTACAAAGCTTTGTTTTGGAAAATATAATGGAGCTTTTCTTCTTTACATGCTTTCTTATTATAATTGTTCTACTTGCTCTTTTGTATTTAGTTCTTCGAGCTGAAAATGAAAAAATCAAAAGAGATATGTTGACTCTCAGTAATGAAAATGCAAAATTCAAAAAAGATATATTGACTCTCAGTAATGCCATCGAAAAAAATATATCGACCCTTGGTGATAAAATACGTGAAACAATCCAGACCGAAATTAAAAAAATTGAAGAAAAGAATTTATCGATTCTCGATGACAACATCAATAAAATACGTGAAACTTTCCAAAATGAAACCAAGCAAATCAAGAAATATACATTGGTTTTAAAAACCATTAATCAAAGACATAAAATCAGACAGACGTATATTTCTAAAGGTATATCATATAATTATAGTCATTTCCAACTTATACGTCACTTTAGTCTAACCAATTTTCATCATTTTATTTCTTGCAGGTTCAAATTTGCCTTTAACAACAAATAATATACACACAACACAATACAAGTATTTAGACTATTCCGATAAAGAAGTGCTCAGGAATGCCTTTATCTCCTTGGTCGATCAGAGAATAAAAAAGGAGGAAATCTACATTACTCCTATGTTTAAGGCGTTATCTACGGAAATTGGTCCAAGCTCTAAATGCTTGCATGATTTTTATCTTCGTAAAACAAAAAACCCGCAAAAAACTACATTGGATAAAATTAGAACATGGGTAAATAAAGAAAGACCAAATAATAATGTAAATGGTCTTTGCCTCCATTAGTTCTGATTCTACCAATTTAAGAATTATTTTTTACATGGATATTCAGAAAAGAGTATATAATAGATATGCATTATTTCTTACATGTTTACTATCAGAGTATTGTCTACTCGGTATAGGTAACATTATAATAAAATGGTTTCAAATTATGCTATATATATTAATGCTTTGGCTTAGGTTGTACTTTTTTTTCGCATCCATTTTCAACTAAAACAATTTGATGGGATCCGCCGCAGCAAAAAGGCAATGGACCAACCAATCAGATTTAGTCTGTAAAATCTACACGGATTAATTTAGCAGTTAGTTATTGCTACATTAAAATTAATCATGTGATGATTTTAAATCGTGATTAGGGATCCTCATTTCTGCCTCAAATTCGGCCTGCTTTACAATTAGTTTATGCGAATTATGCTATAAATTTTTTAGAATTATGCAAGTTTCATTTCTTATATCTTAAACCCGATTAAAATCGGTTTTAACACATTAAAAATAACACCGATTCCAAAATGTGAATGCCTGCCATAATTATATGTTATGGCAAAAATGCACGTAACTTCTTATCGTTAGAACAAGCTATTGTCTACAATCTAAGAGATAGTTAAAAAAGAGTATAGGATTTGATAATAAGTATACATATGTAGGAATTGGAATCGATTTAGTCGACTAAAAAAAATCTTTATAATAAACTACGATGTTTATTAGTCAAAAAAACATAGTAATTAACTAAACCGATTTCAATCCTTATACATATGCTTTACTAAAGTTATTTTTAATAAAAATTGTAAATATATATAAATATAAGTTATAAAAAGCATAGTAGTTATAACTATTTAAATGTAATAAAAAGTTTTTGATAATTTGAGAATAAGATAATAAAGATAAATATTGTAATAATAAATATTTGTTATAGTATTAGTCTGTTAAAAGTTTGAATATATTGTTTTTATGTAATATTGTTATTATTATTATTTTTGGTATTAAGATAACCTCTTGGGTTTTTTGACTTTATTAACATATTTTTAGGTAATATAGTTCTATAAGGAATTATTACAGAAAGAGTATACAATTGGTCACATATGTAACTTTTTTATATTATCTATTTAAGGAGTTTATCTGATGTTCTCTATCAATTATTATATCTAATACTTTTATTTAGATGTTTTATTTTAAACTTTCTAAATCTGTCTTGTATTAACTTTATTAGATTAGGTCTGAATTCTTATCTTAATCTCAGAATAAATTTATCTTCAAGATAACTTTTCAAAGTCTATTATATATTTATCTTATAGTTAATTTAAGTATTACTATAATTAAACCAACACTTATAGTTAAAGTTAATTATTAAATTACTGTGCTCTTACAGAGTTCATCTAAACCCAAACAACTATTTTATAGTATATTCTTAATACTTTTAGTATACTTCAAATTTTTTTTCAAACTCTCAATTCAGATAGCTTATATAAAGTTATAATCAATCTATTAGTATATCAAATCAGTCTGATTTCAGAAGCAGAGTATACTATAAGTACTAGGGATATACTATGAAGTTAGTACTGGGGTTTGAGTGAACTTTACAAAGGTGAGCCCTGTTAGCAAAGATTAAATATAGATAGTTAGTTAGCAGAGAGGCTCTCTGAAGCCTTATTATCAGGTAACATACTCTGAAATATGTAATCATCTAACAGATGTACAGACAAAGAGGTCAAGATTAGATTAGATAGCATCTAATTAGGTATACGGAAGCTTGTGCTACTATCTGCTAGTGTAGTATAGGAGTAACCTTGTACAAGTTATGTAATCATAATTAAATTCACAATAAAGGCAGTAGCCACTATAACTAAAAGGCCTTAGCAAAAGCAAAAAAATATATATATATATATTTTTATTAAATAATAAAAAAGTACAATAATAAAGAAATACAGAACTATGCAATTTCATTAAAAAATATGATTATTATTTTATTAATATTTTTTCAAATTAAAAAACTGTTTTTAAATAAAGTATATCTAGGTAAAGTAAATCTTAAAAATATTTAAATTATTTAAAGTTTTATTTGAAAAATGTTTTTTGTATTATTATAAATAATAATTATATTTTTTAAAAAAAATTTATTATATTAAGCTATAAAAGTACTCTAAACTGTATAAATTTAAGTATATAAAATTAAAGATATAGCAACTTAGTAAAGTAAATAAATTAATCTTTCTAAATAGTAGATTGTAAGTTCAAAATCTACTAATAAGAAAAATTTAGATAATAATCTATATAATATATAGATAGTATTACAGTGATGATATTCTGTCAATTAGGTGAAATAAGATATTTGTAATTATAGTTGTACAAAAGTGACTAAAAATTACAGAGCATCTGTATAGTCTTGGTTATACAAAGAGATGCAAACTAGTTTAGATAATACAAATCTAAAATAAGTCTTTGTAGCTATATAAATCTATAAAACTAAAAAAAAACCAGAGTTATTTAAAAATTTTCGTAAAGAGATAGCATAAAATTTTGATAGTACTATTGTAAAGACTAGATCTAGATAATATATACTAATATAAAGAAATAAGGCAAACAAGAATCTTGGATAAAAGATATTACCAATCAGGCTACAAAATTTCAGACTAAAAAAAAAGAATTTAGACTGGTCTTAATATACCAAGACCAGGTTAAAGCTCTACTAGACTATTTAAATTAGAAGTCTAATAACAAAATAAAAATATATTAAAAGTATTAAAAATATGCTATAAAGTAGTATCAGAGTTTGGATAAACTTTGCAAGAATAGCTTTTATTAATATTCTATAAAGTAGATAGGTAGTTAACAAGAAAGACCTATTGTGTCTTACTAGTAGATATTATATTCTGAAATGTGTAATAGTCTGAAAATCAGTGCAAAAAAAATAAATACTATACTGCTCAAACAGTATAGTAATTAAGTATATATAGAGAGTATAGTAATTGTATATAAATAATAAAGCAAATTATTAGAAGGTTTAAATAAATAATTTTTTTTTTAAATATTAAGATGAGTACTTGCGACTCAGGATTTTATTAATAGTACATTTAGCTAATAGTTGCTTTACAACCACAGAAGGCAATCATGAAAAGAGTGTACAACTAGCCACTTGTACAACTTTAGTTATTGTCTAATTTAAG